TGGCCTGCTGTGTTCATCCAGCTCTACACCTTGTTATCTCTTGCCATCACATGGGCTGCTACCAAAAACCACCAATGTCAGCCACAAACGGTCCCCATTAGTTGTTATTCTTTCTCCCAGCCTGCCCTTTACCTATTCCTTTGTCTGGCCAACTGTTATTCTGTCTATCTGGAGTCCATCTCTACCTATTGGTTCCTCTTTCACCCTCCCCCCACCCCTTGTCTAGCATATATACCATATATGCTTTTCCTAGCTACTATCAGTTCTGAAGAAGGGTCACTGGACCTGAAACGTTAACTCTGTTTTCTCTCTGCCAGGTCTGCTGAGTTTTTCCAGCAATTTCTGATTTTGCCTGCAAGTAATTGCTCCCAGTCCATGTCTGCCAGATCCTGTTGAATGGCATTGAAATTGGCCTTCCCCCAATTTAGACACTTAACTTCTGCACTCTTGTAATCCCTTTTCATAATGAATTTTGAAACATACAGTTATGGTCACAATCCCCAAAATGCTCACCCACTGACAATTCAACCACCTGAGCAGATTTATTTCCTACAATTAGATCTAGCATTGCTCCATCTCTAGTTGAATGATCTATGTACTGGAACAAAAAGCTCTTCTCGATGCACTTTAAAATTTCCACTCCATCTAATCCTTTCACACTAAGGTAATCCCAGTTAATGTTAGCAAAGTTGAAGTCCCCTACAACTATAATCCTGTTTCTCTCACACCTTTCTATGATTTGCCTACATACCTGCTCCCCTATCTATCTCTGACAGTTGGGAGGAAGATTATATTATATAATTTCTCATATGATTTTGAGTTCACATGAAATAGCCTTTCCATTGCAATATTTAATTTTACTTCTTTTGATAATCAAAATGAATGATAATCAGAAGGTTCTATTCTAAATTTAAAAGAAAGCAAAATCATTTTTGTATTGTACCTTAAATGATCTTCGTACCAGAATGACCCAAAAACATTTTGTCCAATAAAAAGTGGTGTCCCAAGTTCTAAAATCAATAGCTCCCTTTGCATTTTTCAATGTATAACCACACCTAACTTTAAAACAAAAGGAAGAAATTTAGTATTAAGCATACTGTTAAAATTATATAGCTATTCAACAAAATTATATAATTTATAATTTGAAGACAATATTACCAAATTGATAATTTGCACTGAAGCCATATGCTTGCCATGACTGGGCACTGTAAAATTGAATGTATAACGATTTTCTACTTGATATCACTGCTGGATTCTCTCCACCACAAGTTGGCCCTTCCAGGACTGGAGCAAGTGCATCGTCACCATCGTGAATTATTACTCGGTCACTATAGCAGTTTATAAACTCTTCTACTTGAAATTTTGTAAACTGTATGAAAACCTGTAAAGAAGATAATGATCAAATCATATAGATAATACAGAAGGGTGCAATTCAGTTGTTTAATATGATAAATGATTAATCAATCTGCAATATGAAAAAGAAGTTATCTTTTCTAAAAGATAACTAATTGGGAGACAAGTTTGAGATTTCAGTGGTTGAGGGTAGAATCTGATTTGAAATTCAGTTTGCCCAGCAGTTTTAGCTCTTGAACTGGCACAGTTCTCTCCACTTGCTTGGTTGAGTCCAGCTGCAACAATATTCATGAAATTCAACACCACCCACGATGAAGCAGTTGGTTCGATCCACCTTAAATACGAAACGTGCATCCTCAGTATTACAGTATGTAATGTCGATAGGATTGCATTTTGAGCTTTTAAAAATGTCTTCCAAAGGAAAAGTTTAAACTCTTAGCAGGTGTATGGTAACACCATTATCACCATGTTACACTCCATAATAAGTTATGGGAATGTCCAGTACATGATATCATTAAACAATATGGCAATCTTGGAGTCTTTCCCTTTTGACAAGTTTCTCCAAACATATAACAGATTTTGGCCAGGGATATGACCAAAGTGTAAAACACTTTGGATCACATGGTGATAGAGATGACAATGAGTAAAATAAGCTAACTCCTAGTAACCTATCAGCTTAGATGGTGAAGACTTTCAGTTAGATTGTGCGGATTTTCACTGTTTCTGGAAACACGTAGCTATATTCAGTTGAATAGGCTACTGTAGTTCCTAATGTCCGTCTGGTTCTTTGATTGATTTCACTGGCTTTGGTGAATTTGTTCTGATTTGGCTGACTTGGCTTCTGCAAGTGTGACAAAATCACAATAACTGAGTCAATGGTACATTTGAAAATGGGTAAAATGGCTATACCCAAGGATACATTGTAAGTCTAGGAATCTTTGACAGAATTAGAGAACAATTCAGTTCAAATATTGAAAGAATAGACATGTTCTTTAGAGCTAATTATGTATGAAAAAGTGAAAACAAAGAGATCCAGACTCAGAGTTAGGCAATTTTAGAACAGAAGAAAGCATTTTTTTTCTAAAAAGGTGTGCCATTCAAAATAATCATCATGAAGTTCAAGGCATGTTTTAATCTTAGGTCACTAGCGAAAACTGAAAGGTATACATTTGGAACAATAAGCAGAAAAAATGTGTGGCCACCAACTACTCCAGTATTTTTCTATCACTTCTTCATGAAAGCAATATTATGTGCAAGCTCAAACATAAGATTTTGTAGGTTAGAAAATTTTATTGGATTCTTTCATACCTAATCATACCTAAGTCTGTCTTCTAAACACAGTCTGAAAATTTACCAAAGCTGCAATGTAATGATAAACCAACTAGACAGTTGTATTCACAAACATTTTAAGATTTATATCTGGAGTTTGTGGCATTCAAGATATGAACGATGTTGGATTTGTCTGATTCTCATGCACAGCTCAGTATAGATAGAGACAGTCAACAGTATCTCATGATAAATATGCATGAGATTATACTTCCAAAAAAAGCAGTGCTATTGCGCAAAGTTTTTTCCAAACATCTTCCAGGCTGCAAGGGCTAAGATTTTGCAAGGAGTTCTGCATTGTTCATATAGCCAATGTGTTCATTGCAACCCTAACAGATGAAGAGAGTCTTTGTGTTGGATGAATTCCAAACAGAGCTCCATGATCACATCATGAGGTTAAAAAAGAGTAAGTGTGCTTTTATGTCAGAGATTGGCCTGAAAATCAATGTAAAAGGGTTGCAGCCAGTGAAAGAGAATATATAGGCTATAGTTAATGCTCTAAAAATAGAAGATATGTCATACCTTAACTTCATACCGTCACTACATACAGTGCTTGATATGACTGCAAATAATCTTTGAATAAAGACCTTGACTGATAAAAATAATCAGGCTAGTTGAGGATATGGCAGAGCAGACTGTATTTCTGGAGTGCAGGATGAACAGGTTTGTGAATGGTGTGCTGCCCAAAGCAAACACATATGTACTAAATGTCCCCATCTCAAATCTCTTTGGCTCAAATTCATTGTGTAGTTCAGACTCCAGGCCATAACGGAGAAGTTTTGCACAGTCTAATCAGATCTCGGAGGAAAACGCTGGTTGAAAAAGGGGATGTATGACTGACAAGGAGGTGTTTAGCAGGGATTCAGGAGAAATTGAAAGTAAGTCCTGCAATCACTGATCCTTTCTAGTAGATTTGATATACTTGCTACTTGTGAGGACAAGAGAAAGGATCACAATGTAGACCAAGACACTGAGTCCATGAAGTCTGATAGTGAGGAGGAATGGAAATATAGCAGCAACAGGAGACTTTCTTTAATTGGAAATAATACAAAAAATATAAGAAGACTAAACAGAACAGAGCTGAAGGACATAGGAAAAGTATGGTAGGATGTTGATGACAAAGAAATGATTAGAGTTACAAAATGGAAATGTAAAACAAACATAAAGTAAGAGAAAATCCTAATCTATTTTCCAATTGTCTTTACAGAGAAAGATACAGTAAATCGCCCAGAAATACTCAAGAGATTTGTGATACTGAAGTATTAGAAGGAATTAATATTTGAAAAATGCTAAAAATCCCTGGACCAGATGAGCTACATCCCAGAGATTTGAAGGAGATGGTTATAAAGACAATGGATGCTAGTATCTTTCAAAATTCCATAGATTCTGGATAGGTTCCTGCATACTGGAAATTAGCAAATAGAACCCCACTATTTACGAACAGGAAGGACAGTAAAATGGAGAATTACTGACCTGTTAATTTGACATCACTAGAAGGAAAAATTAAGAATCTGCTATTAATGATGTGATGACTGGACACTTAGAAAATAATGATGAAATTAAGCAGATCTAATTTGAATCTGTGAAAAGTTTAGCAAACTTTTTTGGAGTTTTTGTGAGGATGCTATTTGTAGTATAGATAAAAGGAGAACCAGTGTATGTGGTGTATTTAGATTTTCAGAAAGCTTTCAATAAAGGTCCTACAGACAAGGGGAAATACAAAAAATTGGGATTGGGTACGATACTAGTATTGTTTGCAAATTTGGTAACCACAGAAAGGAAACATTAGGAATAAAGGGAAGGCTGCTACTAATGGGGTACTACAAGAATCAGTGCTAGGGCCAAATCTGTTCACAGTCTATTTGGATGTTGTGACCAATTGAAAAATTTCCAAATTTGCTGATTACAAAAAAAAAAGCGGAATATAGTTTGTGAGGAGGATGCAACAAGACTTCAAGTAAACTTGGACAGGCTGAATCGATGGGCATAAGCACAGATGAAATATAAGATGGAATTTTCCACTCCCGAATGTGATGAGAGTAATGACCAGCAAGGTGACAAAATAAGGTCAGACTGAAAAAGTCAGATTGTCAATATCAAGAAAAAACCCTATGCAATTTTCCCATCAAGCCTTAATCAGAATCTCACCTATGGACAGAAATTTCCCACTTACAGTACAATGGCAGAATTTCTAGTTCTCTTGAGCAATGTGGAAAATGGCAAGAAATGTGGCAAAATAAAATGGAAATGAGAGAAAAAAAAATCAGAATCTCAACATAGCAATAAAAATTTCTGATTTTCACTTTAAGGTTTAAATGGCAAGTTCAGAATCTCACTGGTGAGCAGTGACTACTTCTATGCATTTATATCTCATGCAGAGACGATGGCCTAGTTGTATTATTGCTAGACTATTAATCCGGAAGCTCCAGTTAATGCTCTGGGGACCTGGGTTCAAATTCCGCTATGGCAGAATTAAGAATCTACTGAAGACCAAACCACTGTTGATTGTCAGAAAACTCATCTGGCTCACTAATGTCCTTCAGGCAAGAAAATCTCACCTTACCTGGTCTGGCCTACATATGACTCCAGACCCACAGCAATGGGGTTGACTCTCAACTGCCCTCCAAAATGGCTTAGCAAGCCATTCAATTGTATCAATTGTTACATAGTTGTTACAAAGAAATGAAACTGGATGGACCACTTGGCATTGACCTTGGCACTGGAAAAGACAATGGCATAAACAGCCCTGTTGACACTGTAAAGTCTTCCTTACTAAGATTTTTTTTGTTTTTATTCACTCATGGGATGTGGGCATTGCTGGCTGGCCAACATTCATTGCCCATCCCTAGTTGCCCTTGAGAGGGTGGTGGTTAGCTGCCTTCTTGAAGTGTTGCAGTCCACATGCTGTAGATTGACACACAATGCCCTTAGGCAGAGAATTCCAGGATTTTGACGCAGCGACAGGGAAGGAACAGTGACATATTTCCAAGTTAGGATGGCAAGTCACTTGGAGGAGAGCTTGAAAATGGTGATGTTCCCCTGTAACTGCTGCCCTTTTCCTTCTAGATAGAATTGATTGTGGGTTTGGAAGGTGCTGTCTAAAGATCTTTGGTGAATTTCTGCTGTGCATCTTGTAGATAGTACAGACTGCTGCTACTGAATGTCATTGGTGGAGGTAATGGATGCTTGTGAATGTGGTGTCAATCAAGCATCAATGGTGTCAAGTTTCTTGAGTGTTGTTGGAGTTGCACCCATCCAGGAAAGTGGGGAGTACTCCGATATGATCCTGACTTGTGTCTTGTAGATGGTGGGCAAGCTCTGGGGAGTCAGGAGGTGAGTTACTCTGTGTAGTATTTCTAGCCTCTGGCCTGCTCTTGTAGCCATTGTGTTTATGTGATGAGTCCAGTTGAGCTGCTGGTCAATGGTAACCACAAGGACGTTGATAATGGGGGATTCAATGATAATAACTCCATTGAAGGTCAAGGGGCCTTGATGAGATTGTCTCTTATTGGAGATGGTCATTGCCTGGAATTTGTGTGGTGCGAATGTTGCTTGCCACTTGTCAGCCCAAGCCTGGATATTGTACAGATCTTGTTGCATTTGAACATGGATTGCTTCAGTATCTGAGGAGTCGTGAATGGTGCTGAACATTGTGCAATCATCAGCAAACATCTCTTCTGACCTTATGATAGAGGGAAGGTC